CTCTGTGTACTGTTTAGTTTCGAATTCGCTTAAGTGGGTAGACGACAACCGTTGCTGATTTAAGGCCCGCGCTATTTCCGACATGCGGCAGTGACGTGGCACGTCATCTCAGCTTGCAAATGTCGGAAAGGGCGCGGGCCTTAAATCAGCAACGGTTGTCGTCTACCCAGTTAAGCGAATTCGAAACTAAAACAGTACACAGAGAGCTGGTCAGAAATTGAGTCCGCCGAAACCAGTGGCCAGGATGGTCTAATCGGTTAAGGCGTCGCCCCGGTCAGGCGAAGGTTGCGGGTTCAATCCCCGCTCCTGGCCCAATTTTTCGCCAGCTCTCTTTCCCCTTCCCTTTCCCTAACTTTAATGCAATAAATTCAATAATCACCTTCTCCCCTCTTCGTTCTCAATATTACTACGGCTGCACTTGTCAATCTTCACTCAATCCCATTATATATATATATATATATTTTTTTTTTTTTTTTTTTTTTTTTTTTTTTAATATTTAGTGGAATTGCAGTTTTTTCGGGGCAAGGTGGCGCGTTTTTGGTCACTTGTGCTTGGATAGACAATATAAAAACCACAAATTGCCAAATATTTCAACATTAAAATCGTTGCACTACCCCTTTTTGGGGTATCCACCCGAAGGAGAAATCTGCCACGCGCCTCGCTTCCGCCGTCCTCCTTGGCGGAGGCGCGGAGGTAGGGTGAACACCCGTCCCGCGACTCGCGGGACTGTCCCGCATTGAGAGCGCGTGTCCCGCGTCCCTCAAGAAATACCAAAATTTTTACAATGTCCCGCATTTGACATTGTCGTAGCATTCACTACGCAAATTATGGCGCTTCCGAAGAACGGGCAACGGGGGTAGCGCGGAGGTCGCTGATAACATGTGAATATCGATGGTACGCCATTCTCTATACAAGCACTGCGGGGAGCGACCGTCGTTTTTCCAGGAAAAAGACGCACATGTGCCGTTGTGCCTCTCCCCTTGATGGCAAAATATTGCGAGCAAAAATTGCTCACCAAAAGTTGAAAAATAAACTATTGTATTTATTTGCAAGTCATACTGTGTCAAACGAAAGGGTTGTTGTGGAAAGCTTTTTTTCAGCCTCGCAAGGGTCGAAAAAACAGCAACATAAGGTTCTAATTTTGTGTAAGAGTATGTTAGTATAAGAGTAAGTATCGACAGGAAACAATAAGCCGAAAAAGATTTCCGATTTCTTATTTCCCTTTCATGCATTTTGGTCTGCTGCAGTCAATTTTTATGGTTTCAACTTAGACATCCATAATGAAATATTTACCATTACAATTACACAGAAATATATCACTGTGAATGAAAATTATTTTAGCTTAATTACCGCCACACAATTTTCAGGTGTATAATATGCTTTCGGAGAGCACAGGACATCGGGGTGCGCGTGATGGTGACTTTTTCTAAAAAATTTTTTTCTGGAGTTATGAAAATACCGTTCTCCTTTTACCTTTCCCGCCATCCCCCCCCCCCCCCCCCCCTCCCCGCACCGCACCCGCCCCCCCCCCCCCCCCCCCCTTCCCCCGTTCAGGGTGTCCCGCATTTCGCCTGCCGGAAGGTGGTCACCCTACGCGGTGGCTTTGTTCTGTCAGCACGAAAGCTCCGCCGGTGGGGAGGACGGAGTTTCCCGGGTTGATGACGTCATAACAACTGTCCGCGGAGTTCTCCTTCGTGTGGATGCCCCTCTGAAGTCGCGTTTCGGTCGTGTTCGTAATGTTTCTCTGCAGTTTGCAGGGACAGCTCGGCTGACTTGTTTCTGTCCATATGTTTCAGCATCATCAGTAGCCCGGCAAAGCCTCAGCAGAGTGATGGCTTCTTTCGCTCAACGGCCTTCGAGGAACGCCGTGTAGAGACCATGCAGTGATACCGTTCACGAAAATCTAAACTACTATGGTATGCGGGTACGGGTCTTATTGCTTTTGAAATCGTGCCTATCTGATCGAAAACAAGTCGTGAAGATAACTAATATGCGCTTAAAGGATCAATCTGTGCCTTGGGGTGTACCACAGCGTAGCATATTAGGGCCTCCTCAACATATATCTTAACGCTATTGTAAATATTAGCTGTAGAGACACCTTTCTTATATATCAGGATGATACTACAACCTTTTTACGGCGAAGCTGCCTGTTACTCGCAGGTGGGATTTTTTCGTGTCTGTCGACAGAAAACCCACGCGCGTGCCTTATCATCTTTCGCGCACGCCATATCATTTACCATGTGGTTTGGATAACTAAAGTGGCGAAGCGGGTGAGTTTGTTCATGATTTATAAAATTTAAAAGCGCTAACAAAGACGAGGACAAAAAAAAAAAGGCGAACAGGACGAGGGCTTGTCCTGTTCGCCTTCCTTTTTTGTCCTCGTCTCTGTTAGCGCTTTTAAATTTTATAGGTCTTTGATAAGCACGTAGCGCTCCCCGCATGCGCTTCTCGGTAAAGACTGCGGTTGAATAAGTTGCCGCGGCAACGGCAGAGTACGAAATGTGGAGTGACGACGTCACTAGCCCCGCTAGCAATGCGAAGCACGCAGCGCACCCCGCTTGCGTTTTTCGGTAAAGACTTTGGTTGCATAAGCTGCCGCGGCAACGGCAGCGTACGAAGTCTTTCATAGGTAAAAAAATGTTTTCGTACAGCGCAATTACTTTTATTACGTCAATCATTTGGTATAAACATGAACTGCTGCTTGCGTCCCAAGGGACTTCCGGTCGCACAGTCTTCGCAAAGCTCTTCAGCTTGCTTATGTCACCGGTGCTATCATAAATGATACACGGACAACAAAGATGGAGACTTAACGAGGGCCTTCGGCTGTACAATATTACATCTTGGAGGAGGCAAGTTGGTATACAAGAATACTCGAAGCATTTTAACAGATCTCGCACTCCTTCGTTCTTTTGGCATTCACCTGGATGATTGGTGGTTAAACGTTTCATCTACATTTCAAGCACCGGTGTTAAGGTGGTCTTCGTTCATTCTTTTGATAAACCGTAAGTTCTCTGGCACGTCAAAGAGTGGAGCACCACCTGGTGGCGTTTGCCGTAAAAAGGGTCTTTAGTGGAGTGGGCAATCGCGGCAGGTGATGCCATAGCCAACCATCTTCACTGCGTGGATTGGAGCCTCTTTTATTTTTTATTTTTTTTTTGTAATGGCATTTATAAGTTTGTGGATGAATGTAGTGATGCAATGAAAACACTAGAAAAATCATCAGTATCTAACTCTATGAAGGCAGATGAGCAAAACAAAGGCAGTTATACAAGGTCTATCACGAAAGGTGGACAAATTCTACATTGCGAAAACTGCGCATCATAACAAAACAAGGCTTGTGTCGTTTTGGTCCAAGGTAAGAGGCCTATTTAGGAAAGTTTTTAAAGTTTGGGATAATTAAGTAGTTAATTATTTTCGCGTAATTAATATTTTTATTATTCAGTTTAAGGACATGGTTTCATTTGGAAGCTTGCTGAGCATCATCGACAAACACTAAGTAAAAAAATTGGAGGGCGTTAGAAGGCACGCGCCGTATTTTACAGATTTCTGAAAAACAGCACAGCTTCGACAAGTTTTTAAGTTTCGGTTTGCAATCGGAGCGCTTCTCGGCATCGACGGCACCGCGCCCCGTGGAGAACGAGTGCAACTAACATCTGATTCGCTGTCCTCGCGCAACGCAGCAGAGGCGGGTTGCACTAAAGCATTAGTCATTCCACAAGACATAAAGAGAACTGGACAGTACCTACAACTCGGCTAAACTTCGGAAGAGAGATGCCTCTGTTATTCATTGTTATCTCTATTAAAAAGCTATCGCCTTTTTAATATTGATGTATATATTTGCAGGTACACTGAACTTCGCACAATCTACGAAAACATAAAAATAAGTTGTTTTTTTTTTTATGTGGGTGCTACTGAGATGTGCCAAAATAACTTTGCTAATTTTTTTTTGTGCAGTTTTTCAGTCATTTTTTTTTTTTTTTGGTGTAGGCAAACGTCTCTGTGGTTAATTCTTTTTGTTTCTGTTTTTGTGGCGTTTGTGATGGAAGTACCTTGTGTTATTGTATAGTTTATTGTGTTCTTTTTATTTTATTCTCTTACCCCTGCTTGTACTAAAGGAGGCTGAACACCAGTCAAGCTGCTCGGACAGCTTTTTATCCTCAGCTCCCACTATACTTTTATGGTAAATAACAATATTATTATTATTATTATTATTATTATTATTATTATTATTATTATTATTATTATTATTATTATTATTATTATTATTATTATTATGCAGGATGATAGACAGGAAGAAGACGAAGTGGGCAAGCACCGCAATCCACTTTCGAGTTGCTCGAATGTTTCTGTAAATATTGGTTTCTATCGCTCTCTCCATCGTAATTCATCCGAAGTTCCATCCCTGGAGAAACCCAGCCCATGGTGTTGCAACTCCAACTCTGTGCAACAAGACGATTGAAGTAGTTACAAGAATGATCCATCGCCCGCTACCGGTCAAGACCTCCATCTTGAATCATCCATCTCTGCACCTCTGAGTGACGACACCGGTAACTCAAGACATCTTATGCCGACGACTCGAAACGCCCACTGGAAGTCCTCACCCAGGCCGTGCGAAGCTTCTTCGACAAGCCTCCTATTTTACGGTCAGAACCGGCACCATCAACTCGGTATCTCTACCGGATCGTCCGTGCAAGCCCATTCAGCACCATCTGATGCAGTGTTTCCCTGCACCCGGTTGCACGCGCAGTTGTAGTTTTTAATCTTTGCGGGTGAGCCTGGAGCTAATTCTTTATCTTGTTTTTTGTCTTATTGTAAACTACTACCTGTACCAGCAACAACGTCATTCTACGCAGCATTCCACCATGTCATCAGACGACACTTGCCTTGTATGCTCTGAATCTCTACCAAACAACGGCCGCTTCATGAAATGTGCCGATTGTGCACGATCGAGCCACCTTGGAAAAAAATGTTCGGGGGTTTCTGAAAACACCTTTAAAGGCATGAGCGCCTCCAAACATGAGAAATGGTGTTGCCTTGAATGTCGGGGAGGACTCGCGAAGTCAAACTTAGACTCCAATCCAACAACGTCATCTCAATCAGACCCCTGTTCGTTTTTGTCAGAGCTGGCTAAAGTAAACAAAAAGCTAGACCTCCTACTCTCCTGGAAAGACACCGTCGACACCCTTCATGATTTAAACCCAAAAGTCGACGCTCTGTTGTCAATGAAACAGGTGGTCGACACTATGCAAGACTCATTGAATGCGCTGCAGGAATCCGTAAATTTTGTCTCCGCTCAATACGATTCGCTCGTGACAACAGCGAAATCCCAAGACCACACCATCAAAGCCATGCAACTAGAACTGAGCGCCCTGCGATCTTCCACCGCGGAGCAGGCGCTCGAAATACATCGGCTGAAATCATACCAAAACGACAAGGAGCAAGTCGATCGTCTTTCCAACATGGAGATACATGGTATTCCGTTGAAAACTCAGGAAAATATTCGCGATATCATGTCAGACCTCGCGGAGAAAATTGAAGTTGAGGATTTTCAGGCTGGTCATGTTATGTCCGCCCATCGCCTGCCTGCTAGGCCTGCTAGGCCGGCTGCTATACCTCCTATAATGGTTAGGTTCTCGTCTGTTGCTCTGAAAGAACGTTGGATGTCATGCCGTGGGAAGCTCGGCTCCCTACCTAGTGACGGTTCTCATCCTCGAATATATTTCAATGATAACCTCACAGATTCCAACAGGAAACTATTCTGGATGGCCCGAATTAGAGGAAAAGAGAAGAACTTTAAGTTTATCTGGGTACGACACGGCAAAATTTTTGCAAAACAAAGCCACGGATTCACGACACTTCACATCACTAATACTGAAGCATTGGAGCTAATCACCTAGAAACGAATGGCTAGCTTTTTTCGGCTTAACGACCTTCAATCTTGCCTAGAAATCTTTACAACAAGCGCATGTTCCTTCACTTTATTTCATGTTAATATCCGTAGCCTCCGGAAGCACTGGGACGAATTTCAATTGGCTATTAACTCTGTCCTACCAATAACTGACGCATTTGTTCTAACAGAAATCAATATTTCTAATGAAAATACAGACCAATTTTTCTTGCCCGGATTCAAAAGCATTTTTTACACTCGCGACAATAGACGCGGCGGTGGAATCGCAGTTTTTTTAAAACAAGAGCTAATTTTTTCGGATATACAAGTAGCGTTTCGGTCATCTGAATCAATAGCACTGCGCATACTTACACCAGTCTCCGATCTATGCTTGCTGGCTTTTTATCGACCACCCTCTGAAAAAGTTTCCGAATTTTTAGCCGAGCTTCAAGAATGTCTATCAGCTCTGCCAGATAAAGCAGCCCTTTGTCTAGTAGGAGATTTTAACATCGATTTACTGAAGTCTTCGAAACCCCTTGTGCGCGAATATCTTACTCTCTTGTCAGATCATGGCATCGAGCCGTCAATTTTTGGTCCTACAAGGGAGGAACTGTTCAGAGGCAATTTGGTTACCTCCTTGATAGATCACATTAATTTAAGGTCGCCATTACCAAATGCAAAAGCAGCAGTCATAACTCAAAAACTATCGGACCATTACTTCGTGGCATGCCACATAGAATTTCCTGGCGTTACATCAAAAATAATGCAAAATAAAGTGCGTCGAGTTGAAATTACTGACCATCAAAAACTTGACAAATATATATCCACCTACGACTGGCAGGCTTTCACACAAACAGACTTGGACATATACCCCTCGTTTGTTAAGCTATTTAGGCAGTTCTATGAGAACTCAAAAAAGGTTATCTTCATAAAACAAAGAAAAGCAAACCTGCCATGGTTAAATAAGGATATACTATCTGCCATAAAGCTGAAAGAAATTGCTTGGAAAAAATGTCGTCGATCACCACAGAGCTCGAACTTCCTAAGTGAGTTCAGAACTATTCGCAACAGAGTAAGCGCCCTGATTCGTTCAGCAAAGCGTCTTTACTTTCATAAACAAATGCTAGAATCTCGAAACAATCCTGCGAAATCCTGGTCATTGATAAATGAATTACGTGGAATTCCTTCCAAACAACTAAAAGGGAATGCATTCAACGCTTCTTTTGGACCTGATCCAATGGCTACGGCTCGTGCCTTCAACAATGTTTTCGCAACATTTTCAGGCAAAGCCCGAGAAAATGAGTCATCAGCTTCTCATCTCCCTAACTCAAATATGGCGTCGGCATTTCTTCCACAAATGACCCTTTCCGACCTTGAGACAATAACTTTTAGTTTGAAACCGAACAAGTCCCCAGGATACGATGGGATGCGCCTCAGCGATCTTCGTAGAAATTTCAACTATATAAAATACACACTTCTTGCTATCATCAACAAAATAATCCTAACTGGTTCAATTCCTATCGAACTCAAGACCGCCATTGTTAAACCTCTTTTCAAAGGAGGACAACGAGACCGAATAGAAAACTATAGGCCAATATCTATTCTGCCATGTTTGGTTAAGATATTAGAAAAATTTATTTATATAACGATGGCTTCCTTTGTGGATAAATACAACATCATATCTCCCACTCAGTACGGATTTATTCCGGGGCGTGGTACTCAACATCTTCTCGAAGCTTTCTCAGACAACATAAATTTAGGTTTCGAATCTAACCTCTTTACATGTGCATGTTTTCTCGACGTCTCCAAGGCGTTCGACACTGTAAACCATTCCATTTTAATACAAAAGCTCTCAGCTGTTGGTTTCCGAGGGCCTTTTTTGGCCCTGTTAAAAAATTTTCTACAAGACCGAACACAAATGGTTTCAATAGAAGGAATATGTAGCAACAAAATTTCCCTAAAAGCAGGTGTGCCTCAGGGCTCGATTCTATCCCCTCTTCTCTTTAATATATACGTCAACGACATGTATACCTCCATCTCAAACTGTACCATCTATCAATATGCTGATGACACTCTTCTGCTAACGAGTCATCTTTCTTTTCCCATAGCAATGAAAATGCTACAGAAATGCTCCATCCAATTAATGGACTGGTTTGGCAAAAATCTAATCGATATAAACGTCTCAAAAACAAAATTAGTTTGCTTTCACAATCCACTTAAGACTATCGTTTTAGACATTCCTCTTCTACTTCACACATCACAATGCGTCGCCTGCCACTGTGCTCCCATTCCTTATTCGAACACCGTAAAATACTTAGGTATTCTTTTTGACTCAGACCTCTCGTGGAACTCACATTTCATAAAACTATGCTCAAAATTAAGGAGTGTTTCCTGCTTATTATACAACATCAAGCCCTTCCTGCCATTTGGTATCCGAAAACTTATAGCTAACTCGTTAGCATATAGCATACTCCGCTATGGCATAACAGTTTTTGGCAACTGCTCCGGGTTATGGCACAAAAAAGTCAACAGCATCTTAAAAGGAATCCTGCGTCATGTATTTTACAAACCCACGACATCTTGTCCCGATCCTTTTCAAGCCCTCTTCATGCCTAATTTTCAGTGTCTCTTGTTTGAAACGATCGTGCTCACTCATTACTGGAATGACGAATTCAAAACACCCCGTCCAACATCCCGTCAACTACGACTAGACACTCGATTTTATGTTCCCACGTGTTATACACGTTATGGCAAACACATGCGATGTTACTATGTTCCTCAAAATTTTAACTCGTTACCATCCAACTTTGAAGACCTGACTTCAAAAAAGAAACTACGGAAAGCTCTACGTCATTATACTTCCTTAAACGAAACCCCTTGAAAGGCCTGTTCTTTTTGTTTGTTTGTTTTTTTGTTTTTTTTTTGCGGTTCTTTTTGTGTTTGAAAGACCAAACGTCCCAGCTTTTCTTTAGCAACATTTTTTTAACATTTCTTTAAATTTTTATTTATGGTGCACATTGTTTTTTTTTTTTTTGTTTTTTTACATTTTACTTTTTTCTAACTTTGTAAAGTTAATGCGATTTAAAAGGACCGAAGACTGATAGATATGCATATACCAGAGCTAATTGATAATACTGATTGCTGCTTCAGTGTACATACTGTTTGTATGTAAAACATTTGACATTCTGTGTCCCAGTACCAACCTCTGAAACTTCACGAACTTTTCTCAAGACTGTGACAAAGCTGACTTTTTTTTTTTTTCATTTGTACACTTACTGTTACTGCGACGCTCAAGCTTTTTGTGTTCTTTTCTTCACTTAATACCGATGCGATGCTCCAGCTTTTTTTTTTTTTCTAATACTTTTCTTGATGCTACTGTGATGTTTAACATTTCTGTTCTTAATACTTCACTCCATGTCACTTCAACTTAGGTTCTGTCCCACAAGCCCTCGATGGCTTTGACGAACCTGCATTCATTCCGACTAGTATCAAAAAGGAGCAATAAACTTTATTATTATTATTATTATTATTATTATTATTATTATTATTATTATTATTATTATTATTTATTACAACCCAAGTACTGTGGCAACTTGACATGACCTGTGCTTCATTTTTTTTTAATATTTTGATGTATGTGTGTGTGTTCTTCATGTGATTTGACTATCCACATACCAACAACTCTGGACACTAACTTTGCGAATGCTTTAATGTTATTTTTCTTAAAACGTGTGTGTGTGTGTGTGTGTGTGTGTGTGTGTGTGTGTGTGTCTGTGTGTGTGTGTGTGTCTGTGTGTGTGTGTGTGTGTGTGCGTGCGTGCGTGCTGATGCACTCTTCACAATGTTGAAATTAATTGATTTATAACTTCAATACTGGTGGTTTAGCCACACAAGCCACTTCTGGCTTAGGAAGCGAGCATGCCGGCCGTGTCGCGGCGGTCGCCTATTGTTCGCCGCGACCTAGCGGTAGCCGCCGCAGGAGCATCGGGGAGCAATGGCGACGAACAGCACGGCAGACAGTGTCCCCGTCGTGATTACGAAGGAATTTAAGGCAGTTACGAAATCGGAAAGTTCCTTCAGTAGCCGGTGCCGTCGGCGCAGAATCATCGGGAAGTAATAGCAACGAACACCACAGAGGACAGAGGGCGATTACGAATCCGGAAAACTTCTTCGGTAGCCGGTGCAGAATCATCGGGGGGAAGAAGCAATGGCGATTAGCAGCACAGCGGACAGTGTTCCCGGGGTGATTATGACGGGGTTTAAGGCGGTTACGAATCTAGAAAGCTTCTTCCGTGGTACCAATATAAAGAAGGGAAAACTCCTTCGTGAATCTGGCCGCGTGTACGACGTGAAGGAGGTCCATTTCGACGGACAAGTGGATGTCACGGAGCGCCGTACTCCGCTAACAAAATTAAGCGTGCCCGCAAAAAATTTAGTTGGCGTTGAGTAGACCGTGGTAATTATGTACATTTATTTCTGAATCAGCTTGACAATAACTGGGCGATTTTTTTCGCGCCGTTCCGCGATTCTCTTTACTATCTTCCTGTAGGCTGATGGAAACATCCAAGTGTAGGCTTAGGTGGGCGACCGCACTCCGCTTCTCGATTCCGGTGAAGTATTTGCCGCATACTTTAGAGTTTGCCGTCGGCGTCGATGCTGTTCCATCGTCGCTAGAATAGAAAAAAGTTAATTGTATTATTCGTCAGCAGCTGAAACAAAGCGCGAACAGAAAGGTAAGAAACGCCACTAACCTGTATGGACGCACAAGTCGCACCTGCAGGTCGCGCAGTACTCCGCCTCGTACGGCCGTACGGCTTCGAAGGGACGATGTAGTACTTCGTGCCGTGTGCGATCTTCGACGTACTGTTGCAGCCGACCACGCAGCAATTGTTGCGACTTTCTTGGTGCCGAATAGCCATCTCAGAAATTACAACGCTAACCCACTACAACGCACAACCAACGCAGCGACTGGCAGAAGCTCCCCGACGTGATGGACCCGTTTGCCGCTAGGGGCGCCCTGGTCGGGGCTTGAATTAGATGCGCACGGTTCCTATACTTCGTCGCATCCGAAAAAAATTTATTATTATTATTATTATTATTATTATTATTATTATTATTATTATTATTATTATTATTATTATTATTATTATTGAATTCGATAGTGACCTTTCATGGAATGGACTTCTTCCAAAACCGACGCGCCCCATCGAGGCGAAATACCACGCAGTGCACTCTGGGAACTAGATGGCCACTCAGTTTCGGTTTCGACTGAGCAGCTTCACCTCGTGCTATCACGCCGCGACCAAATACGCTGCTTGCGTTTTCGATTATCTGACTTTTCACGAACGTACAATACACTGATTCTCGAGCGATACAAAACGAAGACCGGGGCACTTTCCTTGGTTCCCGAAACACCGGATATTATGAGTGCGTGTGCAAACGCAGTAAGACGCGGCTTAGTCACCTCACCCCACGAGTGCATATTTGAGCTCAATGTCAGTAATCCCGTTTAGTACCAATGAACTAGAACTGAAATTTGGTCATCTGGAGCCTTACATGTATTTTGTTTGCCAAACGTCCGCTTCTTCTTACTTCATTTAGCGAAAAGCAAGCCGCATCCTCACAGGAGAATCAAAGTTGAGCCCAGCGTTGACGCATGAACTTGGAAACGCAATAAATTCGACCTCACTACTGCACAAAAGTTACTATGATGTCTTCCTCGTGTCATCATATTCTCCCACTCAAATTTTATGCTGATAGAACATTAAGTTTTCGCAAACGTTGAGATCGGCTAGCTACGACGGAGGCCCTAACAAGCGTCCCCTACTCCTCGCTAAGCCTTTTTGGACGAACGCCCACGATCTGTGCCTGAACGGTGTGTCTGAAATTATCTCGGAATACTCAGGCAGGAAGAAAGCAAACGCATAATAAATATTATGGCCATTAGCAACCGTCAACCGCGCTTTGAATAGTTTCGTTCGTTTGGTTCATGCCCGTCCGGCGCACTTCCGGCGAACGGTGCAACATTCTTCACACAAGTGCTCGACTTTTGCTTTCTTAAAGGAAAGATGAAGCACTTCTACATTTGAAAAAAAAAAAAAAAAAAAAAAACGCTTGAATTGCGTTCATTTGGCCTTTAGATTAGCAGATATCAGAATTTTATTTCAATGCGACGCGCCGGAGAGCCATACGAGCAATTTCAAAATAGGACTGAAGCCCCGCCTCCCTAGCCTTGGGCAGCCTAAGGAGCCGTCGATGACGTCACGGACATCGACTGTCTTTCGCGTTTTTCTCGCGTTTAACAACACTTACGCAGCAAATGGTTTGGGTATTCGGGTTCACGGGGTAAAAATACACTAGAATTCACTTCTAACTCATTTTTTCCAAGAAGCTCCGTAGCTTCCCTTTAAAACGGTCTGTATGTGCGAATGTGCCTATATGATTGGGCAGGATAACTTTATGCGCATACGCGATGTTGAAAACTAGCGGAATGCAGGCGGGTGGGGACTTCACTTCGTGCAGTGCTGCGGGTCAGTACAGATAAGAGATAAGTGAGTTAAACTTGAGCTTTTCAATGGCGCCTCCGAGTTTTACCTCACGTACTCAGGCGTATTAAGAAAAACCGTAATTGCAAAAAGTAATATTTCGTCTATGGACGCACGAAACAGACAAACTTCCTGATCAACCACACCAATACCAATGTAAAGGCGCGAGCTCCATATATGCATACTTATTGATTGCTACAGCTTGTTGATTCGTACACAAGCAAGATTCCCGAGCTTCGCAGCGTCGAAATTCCAAGCACTGGCTAGTCCACATACCTCGATTGGAATGCTAACAGAAAGGTTAAGACAAGCTATACGTCTCGGGCATGTGCTGAAGCTTCGAGGTCTGGCCATTTTGGGTTAGTTTAGAGGCCACAAATGACGCTCTCGGGACCAGAAAACATGAGATAATGACCGTTAATAGTCCACGCTCTGTGTATGATCTCTTGTCGACGTGTCGATCGAAACCGAAACCATGCCACCCACCTCCCTGGCCAACTAGTTCCCCGAGTGCAACGCGCGCCGTGTTGCATGCAGGGCTTTATGGAAGTAGTCTATTCGCACATGGGAACTGTACGTAAAAAGCTTAGACGTGTTTCCTGTCTACTTTATAATATGAGATCACTTGTTCCACAATATGTTAAAAAGATGGTCATTAATGCTTTGGCATACAGTGTTCTTCGCTATGGAATAACCATTTATGGTGGCTGTTCTACGTTATAGCAAAAGAAAATTGACAATATTTTGACTGTAATGTTTAGAAGTATTACATACGGCACTGATACCGAAACAGAACAAGAAAAAATGGATCATATTAATCTTCCATTATGTCATGCTTCGTTTACTGAGACGGTTGTTTTAAGACACTTTTGGGATGACAGATCTAAAGTTCCCCACATTGCACCTCGGGCACTCAGACATACCACTCGTTTTGAGGTGCCCAGAATGTCAACGAGGTATGGCAGAAGACAACGAATATTTTATGTACCGGACATTTTCAACAGTCTTCCTGAAAGAGTGTTTGACCTGGATTCGAAAAAAGAAAAAGTTGAAACAAGCCCTACGAGACCTATTTTAAATCAAGTGTGCCTGCACGAACCAGATTCATCTTCTCGGCGTCTTAAACTGTGCTCTAAAGATTTTTTTTTCTTAGGCCAGTGATGTGATCTTTATTACAACCCAAGTACTGTGGCAACTTGACATAACCTGTGCTTCATTTTTTTCAATATTTTGATGTCTGTGTGTGTGTTCTTCATGTAATGTGACTATCCACATATCAACAACTCTCGACACTCGCTTTAACAATGCACCAATGCTTCAATGTTATTTTCTTAAAACGTGTGTGCGTGTGCGTGTGTGTGTGTGTGTGTTTTATGTGCTGATGCACTCTTCACAATGTTGAAATTAATTGATTTATAACTTTAGTACTGGTGGTTTAGCCAAACAAGCCAATTCTGGCTTCGGCAGACCCGAATCATACTTCGTCGCATCCGAAAAAAAAAAAACTATTATTATTATTATTATGATTATTATTATTATAGTTGTTCCGCAGTTGGTTGCTCAGATCGAGGGGGAAAAGAGAATGGTACTCGCTCATTTCTTATGTCTTGTCGTCTAAGATATCGATAACTCAAAAGCATCAGCAAATCGATAACTTTTCTCGTTCAGCGGCCTCCAAGGAACGACGTATGGTAATGCCATGCAGCGTGTAACTCACGAACCTAAAAAAGTTCAACTTTTCTTCCTGTTTTGTTCGGTTTTTCTTTTTTGCCGGATTTCGGGCTTTGCTTTGAGTTCCTTAAAACGCGCGGTCTAGGATCTTGGTCGAGACGAACCTCTAGTGATCAGCGGACAACTAGCGACACCTGGTAAACAGGCAGGACACTTCCGCGTACTTCCTGTCCTACCCTACATGGTAATAAATGCAACCTGGAAGGTACGCCTCGCCTTTCTGGACGAAGATGAGTAAGAAAATTTAGAAAAATGTATTTCAACGCGAAATGCAAACAAGCATCATCCACAGCCTAAATTGTCTCCAATGAAGGCACTCTACCACAAGCAAACCGATATGGCCGGTCTGTGAGCACCACGCGCTTGGTTTTCACCTCTTCGACTAAAACAAGTGCTGCTCTTTGTTTTTTTTTTTTTTTTTTCCTTCTTTGTGCAGTATCAAAGCTTTACAGAAGTTTCTAATATTTCAAAACCGAAACTACTTTGGTAACAAACTATATATAAGTAGACAATGGTTTCATTCTTCGTAATGGACGGTAGCTTGCGCCGCCTAGCATAGAGGAACGAAAACGACAACAAAGAAGGAGAGCGAAATACGAAGGAAAGAGCCTTCACTCTTCGCCCCATCCCTTCCCGACAACCTGTTGAAGACAACTGACAGCCCTGACTTTTGGAAGTTCTGTCCGGCGCCCACAAAACAAAAATCGCACGCTGATCACCACGCTCAGTAAATGAAGCGTTGCGGATGGACCAAGATACCACCGTCGACGAGAGGTCACCCGTGATCGCCACCGACGATACGTCGCCTGTGCCGCCGCCGATCCCCCGAGTCTTTGGAGTTATGCGTGGAATGTAAACAAGGCTGCGCCGCCTCCTCTCCGCACTCGGGGAAGTCGCCTACGAGACAACGCGCTCTCACTATCGCGAATCAACCTCATCAAATTTCGGAGATGTGAGTCGATCGTTTAGATAAGGAAAGAACCACGACTCGGAAAGTGATCGGCGGGCCGTTTCAACGCAGACCGAAGCACTCGCTGGGCCGGGAGGCTGCGATGGGTCGGCCATGCGGCGCTGACTTCTAGGATGCGACCTGGCGTTGCGTTGCCGTCCACCGCGGAGCCCTGGCTCCCCGTCCCCAAGTCCCCGAGGACGGACGCGGCGCGTCGCCGCAAGACGTCATCGGCACGGAAGACGCGGTCGCTGCCTCTGCCGGGACCACGGCATCGTCCCCGAATGCGACCACGCAGGAGCTGCTCCCGCTGTGCGACGTGCTCTTCAACATCATCTCCTTGGCGTCCTACTTCTGCGACGTCGTCTTCGACGTCATGGTGGCCTACACCCTGCTGGCGGTGCGGCGGCAGCCCCTGTGGTTCGGGATCTCACTCAGCTGCATTCTGGGCTCCCTGGCCACCAGCCAAGTCCTCTCGCTGCGCTGGTACCTGGACGCGGTCAAGGCGGCGAGCTCGGGCCGCAGGCGTCGCTGGGGCGTGCTTGCGCTGCACGCGTTGCAAGCGGGCGTCTTGTGGCGGTACTTCAAGCTCTTGTTGCCCGTTCGGCTGAGCGCCGTGAAGAGAGAAGTGGCCGACCTGTGCCTCCTGCGACTCGTGCACGCCTTCGGCCAAGCCACGCCGATGCTGCTCCTGCAACTCCACCTGGCCTGGGCGCAGCCGTCGGCGGATCTCGTGGCGCCCCTGGACCGGGTGTCGCTGCTTCTGTCCCTCTTTAGCGTGTGCTGGGCGCTCGCTTCCTTCAGCAAGAACGTTCGGCGTCGCCAGCTCCACCGGCTCGTGCTCACCTGGCTCGGCGTCGTTTGTCAGCTCGCCTGGCGTCTGGGCACCGTGTCCGCGCGGGTGGTGGCGCTCACTTTGTACGCGGCGCTCTACGGACCCTGGGTCTTGGCCGTGCTGGTGCTGCACTGGCTAGCCATGCTTGTATGGCTGGCGTCGCCTCCCCGTCGGCTCTTCGGCGGGGAGGTCCTCTGGCGTCGGCTCGCCTACTGCGCCCTGCTCGCCTACTTGCACACCCTATGCTACGTAAACCTACGACCGGAGCCGGGACGGGCCCGGCGCGCCGCCTTTTACGTGGCGATGTTGCTGGAGAACAGCCTTCTAGCAGCGGTCTGGCTCGCGCTGCATCCCGGACCTCACTGGGGTCAGAGTGCCGCTCTCCTGACCGTCTGGGGCGGCTTTTTCTTGGGACTGGGCTTCATGTTGCTTTACTACCGCTGCTGCCACGTGCGCCGTCTGGCCCCCGTGCCCCGCGCGGCTCCACCGGTGTCTCCGGCGGGGGTCTTCAACTGCCGCCTGAACCCCGCTGCGCTCAAGCGCAAGCGCAAGAAGCCATCGTCGTTCGTGCCTCCTGCCCAGCCCTTTTGGAAAAGAGGCCCCGGAGCACCGCCCGCTGTCGACATCCAGCAGAAGCTCCAGGAAAAGCGACGCCAGCAGCTTCAAGACCTGCTCGCCATCGAGGAGGAGATGAAGCAGGGGAAGCTGGCTCCAAGGGGCCCTCCGCAGGGGCCGGCACCCCGGCAGCCCATCCCGCGCTCCAAGAAGCAGCCCTGGCTGCGCAGTCCGCCCCAGTTCCGCTACCGGTCGCTCCTCGGCGGTTCACCAGAGGTCCTGCTGTGCCCTCACCGCCTGGACCAGGCCCGTGGAGGGGGACCCCTCAGGGCTGCGCCCCCCTTGGCAAGGACCCTCCCACGAGAGTTACGTTGGGCACAGAGGGCCCTTGCATTCAGGGAGAGCAACTCGAGCGACGGGGACGTGGACTCTGCGGACGAGGATGCTTCGGCAAGGCTGCGCAGCTGCCGCACCTTTTTGGGGAGACCGCACGGACCGGAGACCAGGCTTTGATTCTTCACCAAGGCTTTGAAGACGAAGTTTCGACCAGCACCTAGAGGCCTTCCACGGTCCAGGTCATAACCGGTACACTTGGCCAACTACGGTTCTTCAAAATACTCATTATTATTTAACTGGATCGTCGACCTCTTTGCAATTGGCTAAGTGGGACCCTGCTACTACCAGATTTGCCGACCAGAGCCTCCTCTATGTTACACCGTGTCCGTGAGCTTACAGTGGGAGAAACTGATCAAAATGGCTTCTGCGAGGCAACACTGGCCGAAAGAAAAACGCCGCTATGTGGTGAAAGCAACCCTCCACCACGGTGCTGGAAACATGTCTTCAGCCGGTGTGCTTACTGCACCCTCGTATTTGGTCTCTCGATTTCCCTCCGACGACGAGGTTCGTGTCATGCTGTCATTGGCTGCTGTCCAGCCAATGTCGCACCAGCAGAGATGGATGTGGGAGACGGCTCTTCCGCTGCGAGTCACTGCAGCTGGCCAGCCAACGGGAACTAGAGTAGCCACGGTTCAGGATGCCGCCGCAACAGTGACACTTGCATCTTTGTCGGCACTTCCAACTGTGTGTCCGGGAAAAAAAGATTTGCCAGTGGTTTTTTTCTCCACAAATATGAGCTGTGCGTCGCCAAACACCCAGTCTTGAGACCAGATGCCAAATTTTAGAGCTCTTCGTCGTATTGTTTATAGCAAAAGCTATAAGACATTTCGTGAAATTTTCAATGTAAAAACCCTGTAGCCGACACTATTCATCGCTTTGCATTTGTCGGAAACTGTTCTTTCGTTTAAAAATTTTCCAAAATCGCCGATAACTCCTGAATTGGATAGTGCGAGCTCTGAAACTTTGGCATTGGTCTAGGTCACCATACTGCGTCTCGCCCTATGAGGTACTAGGGTCCGAAGGCTGGCGGCATAGTACTACTTCAGAAAAGCTTTCATCTGCATTGCAAAGAGTGCGCGAGAAAAATTCCCAATACGCAGAGTACGAAGAGTACTAATCTTATGCATATGGTTCTCTGTTGTGATAGCATGCTATTTTATATTGGTGAAGTAAAGCTACATGGTATTTATTTTCATTACCATGCATGGCCATATTTCGTAAACACATCAACTGTTTGGAAAAGTTTGAGGGTACGCAGGCAACACGGACATAAAGTCCTTTCACCTTAACCATAACAATCCAATCCATTCTTAAATTCTCTATCCAAATTTGTTAATGGCCATTGGTTCCGATATCGGGTTCTCTTTGCCACATCGCTTCCAGATGGTATTTAGTCCCATCAGTAGTAGCAAGCAGACGAAGCCGACGCAAGGGTTCAATAACCAGACGGAAAACTTGCATCCGCATGGCACATCTTGGCGCACCAATACGCATGACGAATCGAATATACCTTGTGGTTTCTGACAGGCTCGTGATTGGACCCGGCAGCCTGTGGCATTGGCTTTTAATCTATCGTAGAACGAGACGGAGTATGGCGCCACATTTGGACGGAGACTGCACTGCTTAGTTCATTTGTGGTGGTGAAAAGACCACTTCCAAGTTGTTTTTTACGGACACCCTGTACAATTATTTGCCAGAATTGCAACAAAATGAGCTCCTGGCTCCCGTGGCAAATTGTTCTTGCGATCTTAGATGCATGGGCCTTATAAGATGCTAAGCACACCAGTTGGAGATATGTTTCGGGCACCGTACCAGTATTTTGCCTCTGGAAACAGTGATCCCCTTGGGACCCCTACATGAGGCATGGCCTCTTTATGCAGAATATCATTGTAGAGCAGGAACCATAGACTGTGCAAGAAAAGCTGCCCTTTCAGACACAGTAAATGTAACAAAATCGAAGGACACAAAAGTGGCATTTCACCTTTTTCAAAACTCCATCGAGCAGCATTGGCAATCGCCATATTATTTTATGTGGCACTGCCAGCTCTTGGTGTGCGACGGCACCCAAGCACTGAAAGCAAGCCCATGACTACATTATGGCAAACTTGGGGAAATTTGAGAAGTGGCTCCACCTGTAAAGGGTTCAGAGTTCTTCCTGATATATGACGTGCCTTACTACCGTACGAAAATATTACACTTTTTTCAGCTCCAACATGCACCTGTACTGAAGGATATACACAGCAGCCCAAAGGGTAAGGACAAGTAAAAGACGTAGAAAGGACTTTATGTGGCACTTGTCCTGTCTATGTCTTTTACTTGTCCTTGTCCTTTGTGCTGCAGTGTGTATTATGTATAACCAACTCGTACATCAGATCAAATTATACTGAAGTAAGCTGCCGAAATACCATTGAAGCTGGCGCTCTATGTGCGTTGGCCCGTGTTTAGCGGCAGTTGGGTGGCACGTGCGATAAATGTTTTGAGAATACATTTCCAAGTGGAGGTGACTGGTGAACATTCGAAGCAAGCTCTACCCCAAAAAAACCAAAACGTCAGTCAGCGCAGCCTCTACAGGGTTCAGAATAATTTGGCAGGATGCACCGCAAACCAACAGATTCACTGTTGATTGAGGCCCACAACATTAGCAAAGTCCAGGTTGCTACGTCAAGATATCTGTTGAGCTATAGCTTGTTGGTTACAGTTTTATAGTTATTTATACGACTCAAGTTAGCAACTATTTTGTGGCTACTTCTGCAACTTGTGTGATTGACTCGAGAGTCTTCGAGTGCCACCATCGAGGAATGCATGCTCACATGATCTGAACATGCTGGAACTATTGATTCGTTGTTCAGTGCCTGGATGAGTGTCTTGGGACAAACAGAATCGCATCTTGTATGTGTTTGTGACCGTCCTCACCATCGAGCTGCGCAAGACGGATGCCAACGACCTCGCGAGTGTGGATTCTGCTTTGTGCGCATTTATTCATAAATAGGCAATACGAAACGGTGGCTTCCCTATTCATCCGCACTCATCGCGGCACGCGGTCCGCCGCCGTCCGCATCTCAACCAGCTCTGGGGACAGGCGCGGTCTTGTTTCGCCCTGCCCGGCGCAGAGAGGACCACCTCCCAGTGGTCCGACCGGCGACCTGCACCGTTTGCCTGCGGAACTCGTCTGTCCCGCGAGAGCCAAGTCAAGGCAGTTCGACGCCAATGCATCGACACCAAAGGTCCGGAGAATCCAATCTCCACGTTTGGCCGGTCACCGCGGGCCGCCCCTAGGTCGCGGGGGCGGCACGGGGCGGCCACAACGCAACGCGCCGGCTACTCCCGTGGCGCTTGACGTGCTTGGCGAGGTGGTCGCTGCGCATGAAGCGCCGGTCGCACAGCGTGCAGCAGAAGCGCTTCTCGCCGGTGTGGGTCCGTCTGTGGCGCGAGAGTTCGTCAGAGCGCGAGAAGCACCGCTCGCAGCCGGCCCACTGGCAGGCGAAGGGGCGCTCCCCCGTGTGCGTCCGCACGTGGGCCTTGAGGTGCGAGCTCTTAAAGTAGGTCTTGCCGCAGCCCGCGTAGCCGCAGACATAGGAGCGCCGGCGTTCCTCCGGCGTCGACGGGGCGTTGTTTGCCGGCGCGTTGATGAAGAGAGTCGTCGGGACGGGGCGCGCCACCAAGAGCCTGACGGCACCCATGGGCACCAGGGTCTGGACCAGCGTCTCTTCGGTGCGCACCATGGTTGGGAGGATCGAGAGAGCGGGCTTAGGCGCAATGGCCACCACGGGGCGGAGGGGTTCCGGCCTGGGGGGCGGAGGAGGCGGCGGGGGGGTCCCGGCAACCGGGGGGCGGCTCTTGGGGGGTGCTCGGACGATCACCGACACCGGTGTGCAAGTCTGCGGGGCCGCAGGAGTCGGACGACTGTCTGCCAGCAGCAGCTGGAAGAGGAAAGGTGAGAGATTGGCGCGATTTCTGGACGGAACTTGTCCCCGCAGTTTCAGCGCGCCTTCGTGACATGTTTGGTGCTAACTTGGTGTTGCAATGTTCGTGCAGAAAGCTCTTCGTAGTTTTAGCTTCCTGCACTATTCTGATGTCTCCCCTAGAGTTTCTTTCTTAGCCACTTTTCACCATCTGAAACCACCCAGTACCTCCTTCGAGCACCAAAGAGTATGGCCATTTGCTTCCAGCAAGCAACAGAGTAATAACAAACCTGAAACACTTTTTTTTTTTTTTTTCACGTGCCAAAGCAAATTTAGGTTTTTAAACACTATTTTAAAGAATATTTATGTTCAAACATGCATTGCCTTAGCACTAAATGTCCAGTGAATGGACAAACGGGCAGTAATACCATCTGAAGGGGGGGAAGGGGGGGGGTTTAAAAGACCGATACCAGAGGAAAACTCTAATCGGGACCAAGTGCACACCCACGCCAGTAGAGCCAACAGAAACACTGAGAGAAATATGTTTCCAAAAATGAAGTGTGCTTTGAGACAACAACTCAAGGCACATGTTCCATGTACTTAACCAGTAAGCTGCTTCACTTCAACTGTGAGCAAAGCAGAAGACACAAAACCGAGCTCCGGGTTTCGTTCCTGCCAAGCAGTATGCTCGCTCAGTGCAAGCATTTTTCGGGGCAACATGCTCGTGCTTGTAGCTTCAACTTTGCCAGCACGTAATGTCAAGCAAACTATGGTGTTCACGCGGCCCATTGGAGACCTAGCTTCGTTTCCTTCTCCAACGGACACTTCGGAATGTAGTGCTCTCAGAACATGCCGCCATCTGTGACTGGCAACATGTTCTAGCTGGCAGCACTAGAAATCTGACGGACGAATATGGGATGCACTCTTGTGCATCACATGCAGATTGTTGGTTGCCAGTTGGCAATGCAGAAGTATCCTAGAGGAGGCCACACTCTTGCACCTTGGTCCATTATTTGACCAAAACCATTTACATTACTGGTGATTCATTTGCTCATCTATGGCTGTAACATGGCAAATGTATTGTTCCAGACTGAAAATAATTTTTAATAATGCTCTTGACGAGAGTCATTCTAGACATTACCAACCGTGGCAGACCTTGGAGCACAAGAGTGATGTGATCATTGGTAAAATTATTGCCTAAAATTTGCTTTTAAACTTCATTTTTGTTTGCAGATTTTATTCTAAGGTGTGCAGCCTGTGATCAAAATAGGCCAGAGCAGTTAGTAGATTCGAGAAAACCATGTTCTGCCTATCCCAAAGAGATGTCGAAACAAATACATGAGTGCAACAAAAGTTTTGCATCCAGGCGACAGTAGTGGCCACTTCAAGAGCAGGCAATGGGTAATCGTAAGTACCCCTAGCAGTGATGCAATATCCCTCGCCAATGTCATACGTGAATGTCTGTTTGAATGCAGAGATTTCAGTGATTTCTTTGACCCTCTGGTTCGCTGTGGAAAGCCATCAAAATGAGAATGGCAGGGCATGTCTTTTGAATCACCTGCCTCCTACATGCACTCCGTGCCTTCCGTTGAACTTTGGCTGCGCTTGCATTCGAGGTACATAAGATGCCGGGGCACTGTCGGTGGTAGAAAGCCGGCGCTTGGGGCAGGGCAGAATCTCCCTGTTGTGCTCAACTTGCCAGCGTCTATACTCCGTTTCACAATAACTTGGCAAACTCTGGAAGCTGCGACCCCCGCGACCCATTAAGAGCGTCCGAGCAATGCACGTTGCAACACACCAAGATCGAGGCGACGGAAGCCTTGTTACCGCCACCGCAACAAAAGTGTGCAACAAAAAGTAGTTCTAGGCTTCTTTTTCTTTGAGTAATGTTGCAGTCAGACTGTTATGACCACAACAGTACACGACACGGAAAAAAGAAAAAGACTTATGTTTCAACGATACTTAATATGGATAAACACTTCTGAAAAAAAAATGTGGCTTTTGAACAATGCTTCAACACTTTCACTCAGGACATTGCCCTGGCATTAGCACCCACCACAGAGTCATGGGTAAATTGAGTGTATGATTGTCGCGTGAACTGTTCCCGAAGAGCTTGCTATTCTAGCAAACGGCAATGTTGCGGCGGTGGACATTTATCCGAAGTCGGTTGCTTTTACAGCAGACGGCATTTGGTTACTCCAGGCCTCGCATTTAGCGCAACGACGGAAACGCTCCTGTGACGTGGTGTAACATACTTTACTACAAAGCCCTTATTGGGTCGTAGGGACCGTAACCTCCACAGTCCGCCAAGTTATCGTGAAGCGGAGTATGAGCCCCAAGCTAATTTGGCTGTGGGCTACAAATCTCCAATTAGAATGTGCTAGCCAAAATTAATACTGAATTTCTGAATTTTTGTTATTTAATCCACTAATTGTTGTGTTGCACCCCTGTAGCAAGGTTTTCTGCAGTCCACGATGTCATCCTAGAGGAGACATCTCCCTATTTCAACTGATTTAGTTAGAAAATAATTTTTATCGTAAACAAAACGCCATCTGTCTAATGGGAGGTAGAATAAAAAAAAATTAAAAAGCGGGAAACGTCCTGCGTACCCGTGCGAGTTCCGAGGACCTGCTGCAGCCGCCCTTGCCCGGGGACGCCTCCTCCTGCTCGTCCTCCGAGTTTGGGGGCGTGAGGTCCATGCCAGGCAGCGGTCGGACAACACTGTCCTTGCCGTGCCTGCTCATGGCCAGGAGGGTCTCCACCGCAAAGTAGTCGGCCCGGCCCAGATGGGCGGCGCTGGGGGCAGTCTCTTCCATCTGCAATGCATCAACACCTCGTCCGTTGCAGAGACCGTCGCCCGGCAAAGGGAGCCCCTCGTCCCTGATCGTGCGAGGGCTCCGTCAGCGGGCGACTTGCAGAAAAAACGGAAAGCAACAGCGAGACCTGCACAGACCCCAACACGGGGCGTGTCTCAAGAGCACCACAATTAGGCGCACGTGAACTGTGACCTTTGGAATGCACACAGTCGAAGCACCATCGAAGAACCACTCCAAACAATCTGTCGACCCAGTATGTACAACTGCAGACATCCCAATGCCCCAAGGATGTCAGGTGCATGTCAGCAAGTCTGTATGTTCACCATGAGTCAAACAGAAGACTCTACATGAGGTTGACCACTTTCTGCCACAAGCAATACACAACATAATCTTCAATCACTTGTCCAAATGCTCTTTGATAGAGATTCTGCTGAAATGCAAATGCATGCTTTCGTTTTTTGGGGAGTTTCCTATGTAATATCTAGATAGTACCTGCAATATGTTAGGCTCTGTAGGTTTTTCCCTTTATTTTTTTTTATTTGTTTTTGTAAGCACCAGGATTTATCTTCTGCTGAAAAGAAAACAGCCTAGTCTGACTAGATGTCTCAGTAGGCAAAAGAGTTCATGTAGGGTCATTTGCTGGAATACTGTGGTCCTTTGTTGTATTTCTGCAATATGTGGTTGCAGATGTAGATGGCAAGAGGTAACAATGGTTTTGAAGTATGGCTCATGCCCTCTACTTACAGTATGCAATAGTATATTGAAATATTGTGGCTTTGTCTACCACAAACATTATATAACTGAAATAAATATAAGGGCACAAACGAGCTGGTGTACATTAAACATGATTCAAAAACCCCAAAACTGCAACGACACTTTTTTTTTTTTTTTTTTGAGAGAGAGAGAGAGGGGGGGGGGGGAATACAATTTTAGATGTGCTTGTGACTTTTGAGGGTGCCTGTGGGGGGGGGGGAGGAGGAGAGAGGGAGGGAGGGGGAGGGTTGAATCATGTTTAATATAGAACTACTAGGCTCCATGAAATATTGCTTTTTGTTGGGGTTCTTCAAAGACTTTCGTGGTGGCACAGTATATTGCTGGATAGATATGTAAAGTGGCAGCAAAGCTCTTACTGGCAAAAAAAAAGATACCACACTGCACTAACTGAAAGAG